GCTTCCTACATTCTTCTGCTAACAAAATGTTTATCTAAAAGTCTGTCTATGCATTAGGAGTCAGTGTACCAAAGTGGACTAAAAAGCGATTACGAAAAATTCCAATATCTAATAATTACTTGATCTTCCCTACTATCACCCATAATCTTCCTGATTGTGGTCGACTGGATCATGTAGCAAACCGTGAGGAGCGAAAAGATGGGCATACACTGGCTGGACTGATGAAAAGACCCCAGAAGAAGATTTGGATTTCGCTGACTATGATTCATGTCTAATGTCTTGTCGCACAAACTCGAAGATCTACAGGCGAAAACTAAAAGGTTGACAGGAGAAGCAGCCAAGATGAAACTTCAAGTGAACGTAGGGAAGACGAAAGTGATGAAGATACCCAACCAACAACACCACCATCAACATAAGAAACTTAAAGCAAGCAGCCTCTTTCACCTATCTGAGCAGCACTGTTTCAACCACAGGCGGCGGCACAGATGACGATGTTAAAGCCAGGATCGGAAAGACAGCAAGACAGGCCTTCCTGCATTAGTCTGAAATCAATCAGTGTGGAGATCTAGTGCACTCAGCACAAAGAATAAGATCCGGATTTTTAACATCAGTGTCAAGTCAGTGCTGCTCTATGGTTGAGAGACTTGGCGCGTTACGAAAAGCATTTCCAATAAACTACAGACATTCATCAACAACTGCCTACGTTGGCTCAGTACTGAAGATCAGATGGCCAGAATAATAAGGATGAGCAACAAGGAACTCACTGTGGCTGGAGACGAACCAACCAAGAACCTATCAGCCAATAATATGCTGAAGAAAGTGGAGATGGATCAGACATACACTGAGAAGACCGACTGGGAACATCACGCGTCAGTCCCTCAAGCGGAACCCAGATGGGAAGCGACGAGTTGGGCGTCCGAGGAGAAGGTGACATAGAGGAGATCATGTGAGGAAGAAATGAAAGCTTGTGGACAGTCGTGGTGACAGGTTGAAAATAGTGGAGAGAAGAGAGTGGAATGGAGACGTGCTACTGAAGCCCTATGTTCCACTAGGAAACCAAAGAGAAAATAATAATGATAACTACTTAATCTTATTTCATCTTTACAGGTGATTAACCTTTTTTTCCCCTTCCTGTTATTTTACAATCTCTTTTACAATTCGGACAAATTATTTACTCAAGTAATATAATGAATAGTAGAGTACAACCGTACGCTTATGCTTCTTTTCATGACAAGAAATCAAATCCAAATTAAAAGACTTGTGAAATCGAATTACGAAGATTGATACTGCTACACAGTCAGACTGTATTTGCTATCCCCTCATTTTGTTTGGTGTATATGTTACTCAAGAATTCTTTGTTCATGAGTTGTCTAATGTGAGTTGTAACATTCGATTTGATTTCAACCCCCTGACCGAACTGTTGTGACATTTATATCTGTCGATCTGTGTGTGTGCTCGATGTAAAGATAAAGTTTCTTACCTTATTTTTTAGTAGGTTTGAGTTTGCATTGAGTGTGGACAAACACACAAACTATCGATTTTGAAAAAGAGAACAAAGCCCGGCAAAATCTGTTGATTATTTCTTTTCATCTAGCATGTTTAAAGATAAATAGATTGGCAAGACAAGAAACAAAGCCACAATGAGTAATTTGGTTCATGTTTCTGCTCATTTCTGCTGAGGCAACTAACAACACACGTGCTGCCTGTTGTCATTTGTTAATATAACCAATGTAAATGCTTTTATTTGTTTTGAGGTGTCAGTTCAATGTCTGTAGTCAGGCTATTCGGGAAAGTGTTGATTAAAAGCAATATACATCGTTTTACAACGATGACAGTTGAAACTGAAAACAAAGTTGGATTTCCGTTGTTCACGAACAAGTGACTTTTGGTTAGATAAGTTATAAGATGACCTACTGAGTGTTTAAACAGCGGAAGTGAAAATAGCTGTGCAGTTTTTTTCTGTCGTTAACCTAGACCCCGGTCACTTGCACTACTTATAAGTAGTAAGATTTCACTTCTAATTTCGTCTTCACCTCAAATACGTTTCTACCAATTTAGTGAATTATCTCCTATTTGGATATCATATGTTCTATCCATATATGATGTCGCGCAAACTCAAAGATCTACAGGCGAAAACCAACAAGTCGACACAAGAGGTGAGGCAGGGCTATGGAGACGAGACTTCCTTCAGGTGAACTTAGGGACAAAAGACGGAGGAGATGAAGATACCCAACCACCACCACCAACAACAACAAGCAGAAGTCATCATGAACAGAAGAACTCTAAAGGAAGTAGCCTCTTTCACCTACCTACCTACCTACCTACCTACCTACCTACCTACCTACCTACCTACCTACCTACCTACCTACCTACCTACCTACCTACCTACCTACCTACCTACCTACCTACCTACCTACCTACCTACCTACCTACCTACCTACCTACCTACCTACCTACCTACCTACCTACCTACCTACCTACCTACCTACCTACCTACCTACCTACCTACCTACCTACCTACCTACCTACCTACCTACCTACCTACCTACCTACCTACCTACCTACCTACCTACCTACCTACCTACCTACCTACCTACCTACCTACCTACCTACCTACCTACCTACCTACCTACCTACCTACCTACCTACCTACCTACCTACCTACCTACCTACCTACCTACCTACCTACCTACCTACCTACCTACCTACCTACCTACCTACCTACCTACCTACCTACCTACCTACCTACCTACCTACCTACCTACCTACCTACCTACCTACCTACCTACCTACCCGCCTACCTACCTAGGCAGCATCGTTTCAACCACAGGGGGCATAGACATAGATGACGATGTCGAAGCAGCCAGGATCGCAAAGACAGCAAGACACGCCTTTCCTCACTAATCTGAAATCAGTGTGGAGATCTACTGCACTCAGCATAAAGAAAAAGATCCGGATTTTCAACACTAATTCAATCAAGCAAGTCAGTGCTTCTATGTGATGGTTGAGAGACTTGGTGCGTTACGAAAAGTATTTGCAACAAACTGGAGGCATACATCAACAGCTGACGCCCACACGCATTCGATACTGAAGATGATCAGATGGCCAGAATAATAAGGATAAGCAACAAGGAAATCTGGTTGGCTAACAACGAACCAACCAACCAACAACCTATCACCCAACAAATATGCAGTAGAAGTGAGTGGAGGTGGAGTGGATTGGATTGGACATACACTGAGAAGGCGGTTTGGGGACATCACGCACCAGGTCAGGTCCTCTAGTGGAACCGAAATGGGAAACGACGAGTTGGGCGTCTGATGTGAGGGTGACATAGAGTAGAACGTGTGAGGAAGAAATGAGAGTTTGTTGGTAGTTGTGGAGCCAGTTTGAAAATAGTGGAGAGAAGAGAGTGAAATGGTGACATGTTACTGAAGCCCGATGTTCCACTAAAAACTCAAATTAATCTCTGTTTTTAAAGTGAACAGTAAAGATCATTTGTGAGTGCCGATGAGGACTTAGAGATGACCATACGTCAAACGTTTTCGCCACTGAAGCTTCTGTTTATCAAACATTCTGAATATTAAGGTTCACTTATTTCGTAAATAATAGTTTTTTGAATATAGTCAAGTTAAACTTACTACTTTCACTTTGAACCACTGATGCTTTTTTTAACGTTAATAACAACCACTCTTTTTCAGATAATATTTTTGATACTGTTTGGAATTCTCAGCTTATAAATATTTGAACAAAATTAACTTTACCAAATTTTGAGTACCAGTAGTTAAAGCTACCGAAGCTTTATGTTCCACTAGAAAACCAAGGGGCAAATAATAATAAATATTGCGTTTTATTCGATGATCTGTCAATGAAACACTACCAAGCGATTAGAAATAATCTTTTGTCATAGATATCATTCGAAAAATAAATGTTACTGATTTCGGCTCCTCATTTATTGATCTACCACTATGAATCTTTTTGAGCTATCCAAAACAAAAAGAACATAACAAGACCATGTTGAATGGAGACGCTTCAAAGTATAGTCTTCTGAACAAGTCGTGTTTCGTTCACCTTAACTGATAAAAAAGAAATTGTTGGATAGTTTGTTTGCTTTACTTATGCAAGTTTTTCTGTTGGTTTACTGATGTAAAAGTTCTCAATAAGCATTCATCCATTCCCATCACATTTAACGTTTGACAGTATGCGTTTTTATCCAAACAGACAAATTAAAGTGTAACTTCAAATAAAAGTGCATCCTTTCAAGAGTTACCATACTTCCAAACGGCCAGAAACAAAACAATGGATAGGAATAGAAAGATATTCAAGTGTGCTAGAAGGATATGAGAGAAACGACAATATGCAAAGATAAGTAAGACGTTCAGAGTTCAAAAATCCATAAAAGGTGGATATATTTGAGTTATTGTGATTGATTTTGAGCCGTGTCACATAAAGTCTTCTTGATATCCCAAATACCGCAACCACACCGCCTAAACCTACCTGCATAGCTGAAACCAACAGTTGGAGATCTCATAAATTGGAACTAAATTTCTGTACCTATCCCTAAACTAAGTAACGCTGCATACTATTCCCCCACACATTGTCGAACTTATACAGTAATGGCCATTGCAAGTAACTTATGCTAGAAAGTCAAATTTATATAACCACAAGTATGTTTACTATCTTTTATTTGGTTTCACCTTGTCTCTGCAAGTAGTCTTACAATGTACTTATCTGGGAGGGGATTTATAAGGGGATTGTTTAAATGATGTTTGTTTCGCTCAAGCATTTATATCCTCATTATGTTAACTATCATTGTAAACTATTAACATCTCCAATATTACCAGTCTAAAGACTTGAAATTGCTATGCATAGTACATTCATTCTGTTTTTCATTATACTAGAATGATATGTAGTCTTGAACTGTCTAATTTTCATGTAAAAAATTGTTTATACTGGTTGCTTTCATCAAACGGTTTGTTTTATTTCTCTGTCAATAAATTCAGGACGCAATGAGCTTATTGCACGTTATATTAAACTGAGAACAGGTAAAACTAGAACAAGAAAACAAGTATCCAGTCATATACAAGTATTAGCCCGTCGAAGATCAAAAGAATCCACTGAATGTTCCTTGGATGATATATATGATTCAGATCTATGTGGATATTCACCACCTTTAGGTATGCAAGAAGCTGATGAACAAACAAATTTCACCGATGAACATTCTCAAAGTAGATTACAGAAGCATGCATTTACCGTTGAGAAATGCTTATCTCAAGGTAATCTACTTAATCTAAGTTTATTTTGTAATCAGTTGTAAAACCACATTATATTGTCCCATTCGTGTCATCATGTTAAGCGTTGATAGTCTCGGAATCACCCGAGGCTACTGAAATATTTTCATAATTTCAAGAATACTGAATTTGAGGCATAATGTTTAATTAAAGCATATGTCCTTAAACAACGTCTACATACTAATTACGTTTATAGCATGCTAATCAGCGATTTCGGTAAGTTTTACCACGTGATACCATGAAAAGTGTAGATGTATGTCATCGTCGCTGTTTCTCATAATTATGTCTAGTGACCCTATCAAGTAACTTAGCTAAAAGTTTGTATAGGGAGTTAAGGAAGGAAAGTAGACTGTTTTTCTGTTTACTAATGAATTCGTTTGGATTGAAATAGTTTCTACTCGTTTTCGCACACCACTTACTTTGAAGTGAGATACGGCATTTGGTGATGAGACGAAAACATAACAGAAGTTTATTGGTTGTTCCTTTTGTGTAGAACTACAGCTCCATTGGTTAAAGGTTTTTAAATAATAGTGATCAAGACCTGCGTAAATTTAGGAACGTGGTATAAAATTTGTTTCAATAGAGAGTATTAGGGCCCTGGTTTTGTATCTCCTTTGTTGCTTTTAATCTTCTTGCCCCGGCTTCTTTCCAGTGGATTTGTTTTACTACTCCTACCTTGAAATGGTTTTAAAAACGAGGATGACGAGAAACTATTCACCACCGTAGCAACCCTTGTTTTTTGGTCACCAAGTCGGTAGGGTATTTCATAAACTGGATAGCATGGTTTGTCATTGTAATATCGGTCTTTGATTTGAGTGCTTGTTCGCCATAGAAAATGCTTAGTACTTTAAGCGTGGGCAACCAATAGGAGTTTTTGAGGTTCCTATCTTGTCCTCATCCTCGAAGGTTGGAAGCGTGTTTAAACTTGAATGTTCAGGTGATTCACACTTTCTTTGATTTCAATCATCCTTCGTCAATTTAATTTTCAAAGCTTTGTTTATTTGATCTATAACACAGTGATATAGTATTACTTGCTTGATGACGTTTCGAGCATAAATTATTGCTCATAACCATATCATTGTAATCACACTACTTTAAACATTTAATTTTTATAGTCCCGTCACCTCATATGAGTTGTTTCATTCGTAGTAAAATTTTCCATATCTCTAGTATAGGTGTTGCGTGTTGATTCGATGAACAAAGATTCCGTAATCAATCTCTCTCCTCACCTAATTATATTGGACTTAAGTACAGTGGCTTTATCCCACCCTAATGTGTGGTTGTGTGTTGATGTTTGCATTGCAATAGCCGAGTTTTTTTTCCAGATTATTGATCTTATTCAGGTCAGTCATTCTACATTTAGCTAAATTCCTATGTTGGGTTTTTTCGGCAGCCTTCAGAATTCTCTACAGTGGTGGGAATTATCTTGGGTTTCTTGTCAATCTGTTATCTGATTGTTTTATAAGCAGAAAATTATTCAGATTTGCACTGAAATTTTACCAAAAAATGATTCCTTTCAACTGCATCTAGTTGGTGTTATTTGTTGTCTAAAAATTTCAGATACGTCACCTGAATATCACAATTGGGAAATCTTTGCACACTGTAACAAACCAGCTGTTATTCAAACGGATGAAATGCAGCTTATTTACTGTGACTTATACATGTCCAATCATTCTGAGAAACATTACCATAATCTCAAAGAAGTAAGTTGTATTTTATTATACTCACAACTCATTAGAAAATTATTACTTTTGGTTACGTTTTCAACGTAAATGGTTTTGAAAATTTATTGGATATTACCACTTAGAGACTTAGAACAAGCAAAAAGGTTAAGTAGGGGAATACTTCTTTTCAGTTAGTTCCTCATCAACACCTCCACGCCAATATACAGTTTTTAACAGTTGGCATCAGAATATCAAGTTCATGGTGCTGGATTAACTACTAGTGGTTATGAAACCGAACCCACTTGTGAAATCATAAATCTGAGAAATGAATATGCAAAAGAATGAGTGGGTTGGTTTTAGAGTGTTTACAAAAAAGATTAGAAACTGAACTGATAATAAACTTTTCTAATGACTGATTGTTAAACAGTTTACGAGATACTATAGGGCCTTGTCAAACGGACACGTTACTTTGTACCAGAATCGAGTAGGGAAAAAGCTATATAGATTGGTCATTAGAGAGCATTCAATTTCATGTTGTCTAGTCCTGAGTTCTGACCAAATTTTATTCATCATTTTACAATATATCCGCCAACCTAGACGGCTCACCATCGTCGTACACTTTGATGAATGTTAGTTGATTGGAGGTAATTGGTAGTAAGCCGTGGAAAAATTACTAAATTGAACAGAAAGAGAGGGTCATCTGTAGATATTTTTAAGTTGGATTCGGGGGTTTGTGGGGGTTTAGAAGTGTTCTAAGTTGGTTTCCATCATGAACTGACATCAGTTGGAGAAACATTAGAGATCTAGGGATACTGGACAGCCATTTCGTTTTAGTATGGGACTCTTCAGCAGTCCACACCAACGACCCTGCCAAGGAAAGGACCCGCGACCTTCAGGTTCCAAGTCCAGCACGTTACCACTGAGCCACTGGGTCGGAATCCAATGTTCCATATTTCCAACTGTCAGTTCACAAAATAGCCCGGCCACCACCTAATGCCATCGTTGAGCATTGAGCATTTGTTCTCACGATCATCAGGTTTGCCCCACTGGTCATGACTTCTCATGGGAACTTTAGGAATCACATCTCTAAGGTAGTCACCATTGGGCACTAGTTCAATTGAATTCGGTTTGTAGGACGATATAGCTGTCCAGTGCTCCCTAATTTTCAATGTTCCCCCAACTGATATCAGTCTATGATGAAAACCAACGTAAAATATTTTTAAGTTGATCAAGCAAATCTAAAGTAGGAAGTTAAGTTACTTTTATGGAGAAGGCAGTGAGATAGATTGTAAAAGCCTTTTTTCACACAAAGATTTAGTTTACAAGGATCTATGACATTGGCTTGAGCGACGTTAAGTAGATAGATACGTTAACTATGCGAAAGACTAGGTGGCTTACAACAGACCACTATAAAAGGTTTTTTCTATGTCCTTTTGCTAAGCTGCAGGTATGGAAATTCTAATCATTTTTATTTCTTTCTTCATAAAAAATGCCAGATGATTCAATGATGTGCGTAAAGTCTCTACGCTCATAATAAAGATATCAGGTATACTGTTAAAGGGTTATTCAAACTTTCGGATAGCACACTAAATTTTATCTTACTTCCATACTCTTCTGTTCTTTTCACACATGGCTTCGAAATGTTTTACAATGGAGTTTCGAAACACAATTAATGCAGCTGAAACGGGTTTTGTCCACTTATAATAGACTTTTCATGGTTTTAATGCTGAATACATGAGAATGTTTCTGATAATTATTAGAAACTATACTGACTTTCAGTAATTTGATTATTAATTTCGGTGGTTTGTAGAAAATTGATTCATCTTAATATGGTTTTCATCACCTAGACAACTATTGGAAATGAGGGTGCGCTAAATACGCGTTTCATTTCATTTTGACATTCTCTAGCAGTTGAACACATCAAGCGTTTTGTAAGCTTTCGCAAATATCCTCCTCACTCCACTTAAAAGATCTTTTAAGATCCTGTGGTCATTAGACTGTTTAGTGCATCCCACAGAATTTGTTTTTCTACCCCATCTAATTCTAATGAGAATTTTCTTTCTAGTAAAGTGCGTATTTATCGCATCATTGCATGACTCCTTGACTTTATTTCACTTCAGAAAGTTCCCTTACTTCGCTACGTCGTTGTCTCGTTTAGATTGATTTGGCTGAACCAAATTGTATACCAATATTGTACTACAGTTTGTTATTGTAACTATTTTAAGTTGTAAGCAGCTGACGAGAACCACCGAAATAATAAGATGGATCCATGTTATTCTACCCCAATGTTTTTTCTTATTCTTTTAAAATTGACATAGGGAAATATGTGTATGAAACACTTAGTTATATTTAGTATAAGAACTACTTACTTTACCCTTCAAAGTATTATACAAGATGAACCGTATATATTTCTCTTCCTTAATGTATATTTATGATGATTATGATTGATCCTATTGAAGCCCTATGTTCCACTAGGAACCCAAGGGACTAATAATATAATAATAATAATAATAATAATGATTGATCCACGAGCCAGTCTCATTAAAGTGAGTGCAGTTAATAAACAGCGAGTAAACTGATTTTTTCACTTGAAGTACGACAATTTGTTGGTTGGACGTGATTGGCAGGTAGCCCTGCACTTTTTTGGAACCTGTTTCTTCAAATATACTTTGCACATGAATTCATTTCAAAACTTGGGACATATGTTACATGGAATATACAACGAGAGAGAGAGAGAGAGAGAAAGAAATATACTCTAACACTGACTAACAAAATAAATGTGGAACCTCGCAAACAAGTGCAACGACTCAGGTTGCTACACTTCACAGAACAAAGAACAGGTGTATAGAAAAGGAGTGGTATAAAAGTGCACAAAGTTGTATGAGAGAACAAGCAGTTTAAAGATAAGGACCTGATCTGGTGCGTGATGTCCCCAAACCGCCTTCTCAGTGTATGTCCAATCCAATCCACTCCACCTCCACTCACTTCTACTGCATATTTGTTGGGTGATAGGTTGTTGGTTGGTTGGTTCGTTGTTAGCCAACCAGATTTCCTTGTTGCTTATCCTTATTATTCTGGCCATCTGATCATCTTCAGTATCGAATGCGTGTGGGCGTCAGCTGTTGATGTATGCCTCCAGTTTGTTGCAAATACTTTTCGTAACGCACCAAGTCTCTCAACCATCACATAGAAGCACTGACTTGCTTGATTGAATTAGTGTTGAAAATCCGGATCTCTTTCTTTATGCTGAGTGCAGTAGATCTCCACACTGATTTCAGATTAGTGAGGAAAGGCGTGTCTTGCTGTCTTTCCGATCCTGACTGCTTCGACATCGTCATCTGTGTCTATGCCCCCTGTGGTTGAAACGATGCTGCCTAGGTAGGTAGGTAGGCAGGTGGGTAGGTAGGTAGGTAGGTGAAAGAGGCTACTTCCTTTAGAGTTCTTCTGTTCATGGTGACTTCTGCTTGTTGTTGTTGTTGTTGTTGTTGGTGGTGGTGGTGGTGGTGGTGGTGGCGGTGGTTGGGTATCTTCATCACCTCTGTCTTCTTTCCATACGTTCACCTGAAGGAAGTCTCGTCTCCACTGCCCTGCCTAACCTCTTCTGTCAACTTGTTGTTCTCGAGTTTGTGCAACAAGTCATTAAACATTAATCAACATCGGCAGTGGCGAAATCCAAATCTTCTTCTGCAGTCTCTTCATCCCTCCAGCCAGCGTATGTCCACCTCCTCGCTGCTCACAGTTGTCTGTTGCATGATCCAGTTCAGTCCAGTCCAGTTGACCACAATCAGGAAGATCATCGGTGACAGTAGGTGGCAATCTTATCTTGTCTTACTCCTGTTTTTACTTCACTTCAAATGTATGGTCACTGAGCTTTCCATTGTGAATCATTTGGCATGTAGCCTCATCATATAGCATGTATCTGCTGTTTAGTGAGTTTGATCAAGGTTTGTGGTACTCCATGGTATTATGTTAACCAAGTGTTCTGTTCCACCTTTTGCGATAGAATTTATATAAATACTTAGTAATAAGATTCTCCTATTCCGAGTTGTGGGTCATAACTGTTGCTCGAAACTTAGTGTGTGGGGGAGGGGCTTGAGATGACTTAAGCAACATACGATTCTTAATCCAGTAACAAACTAATTCATAGCTCATAAAAATTTTGAAAAGTTCATTAATCGTCTGTTCAATATTGGTGATAACGTTTTTAAAACTAAAAAACTGAAATGTTTTCACTAACCGTGACTGTAACAATCCAAAAGCATGATAAGTAAGCCTTCGTCGTTTGAAGCGAGAACTGAGGAGTCCTGGGTTTTCATGTCTGTCATCACCCTTGACTACGAAAGTTTTCATGTTGATATATGACTTTATAAATGAGTGTTTACTAAATTGTTTATCAAATTGTACTGTTGAATTTTGTCTCCTTTAAATTTCCAACTCAACCATATTAAATAGAGGTAGCTCAAAGCTAACCGCTTGAAATGATGTAGATCTGATAAACAATTTTTTGTCCTTGTACAAAGCATAGTGAAATGATGTCGTGGAAGAAAATCAACATGCTTAACATCTGAATAAACATGACAACTATAATTGTATTCAATTTAGAGGTTCGTGGGGATTTATGTATTTATTTATTTAGGTTGATATTCATCATGGGATAACGTCAGTTATAATTATAAATATAGTCTGATTGACTTGTAGTACTTATCAAGGACTGATATCATTTGGACAACCATTGAGAACTTTGGTTCACTGGATGGCTGTTTTTTGTCAGTAGCGTGCACTTATGACCTCACCAGAGTTTGAACCCAGCCCCCTCACGTTCCACGGCGTCACATTACCATTGAGCCACTAGGGTTGGAACCTGATATTTTCCTCTGTCTGTCAGTTCGCGATGTAGTATGGTTATTGCTAAATAAATCTTGTAAACTTATTCATAATTTTAGGCTTATCTAAAGCCATTTGCTACATACCTCTATTGTATATGGAGTCGAAACTGTTAATGTATGAATTAATAAGTTGACACTGTGTTACTGCATATTATAAACCTACCTACCAGTTACATGCTAAATCATTTCTAAGCTGTTCTCCAATACTGTTCGGTTTCTCCTCTTTTTCTTAGGTATAAACCGATAAAAGTGACAGGTATTTCGTATATCAATAACTTTTAGTTACTGAAATCAATTCAGAAATCGCACTGTCAGTTCTACTGGAAATATAATATAGGTAGCTGAATTATCGTCAACTTCCTCAAAGTTTCTTAGACGGGTAATAATATCAACATGAGATCAGGCATTGCTGCATAACGAGTCGAACATTCCCACATCTCGTAGCAACGCTTCAATCGAAAATGTATCAAGATGAAAAATAATGAAATGAGTAGTCATAAACTGGTTCATAGTTTCAACTAGGCATTTACATCGCTTTCATCTGTACAGAATAAACCACCCTAGTTATTCATCATACATGAGAGATATAGACGATCTTAAGACGAATAAACTTTTTGTCACTTCATCCGATTTCAGTAGTTTTTAGCTTGATTGTATCCAGTATCAGTTAGGAGTTACAGTACTTGCAGGGTATGAACAAATTGAAGGTATAATGTTGTTGAAGGTATCAAAGTAAGTTGTATAATGTATTTAGGTAAATTTCTGATATTATCAATGATTACTTGCATTAAATTATCTTTCTTTTTCATTTAATTTAGCAAGCTTTACTCATTCTAAACTCATCTTCACCAATCAATATGTTTCATACAGAAATGTTTTTATCGAATGAATCTGATTTCAATTTGGTCAAAAGTCATGATATTATACCACAACACATTTCCGTAAACTGGCCCCATCCATTGAAAAGTCAACCGAAAAAGTGTTTTATTATGAATTTAAGGGTAAGTTATTATATGTTCATCTTATCTACATAGTACATACAGTATACTGCTACGATACATCTTTTGTCATTCCAGGAGATTTTTGTGGTTCTAGAATTTCACAAGCTGTCTCAGTGAATAAGATCATATTTCAAGTCATCTTTCTCACTGAATAGGTACTAATAATCTCGCATCAGAATCAACAGATGTTTGAATACAAAGTGATCTATAATTATCATTTCAAACAGTACTGACTTATACAGTTGACAAACCGACTTGGAGAAAAGTGAATATAGACAAAACCTTATTCGTACTGGGTGATGATTTAAGCCAAGATGAAAATCTGGACCGCGGCCGGATTGGAACCAGCAACCACCGGGATACCGGCCCGGTGCTCTACCAACTGAGCTACTAGGTCCGACTGTTGACCAGAATTTTATTTTACTTTAATCACTTTCAGTCATTACCCAGTACAAATACCAGTCTGCCAAACTACGACTATCTCAGATAGTCAAATGAAAACCTTATTCGGTCAAATTTGGTTGTCTGCCACACACTGTGACCTACAAAAATTGCTGTCAGTGAACTTCGTTCAAATATCTACTGTCACGGATCCTTTTAAAGCCTTTTCAAATCGTATTGTCAACAAAGATTAGCAATGCTTAGCATCTTGCTATTCTTCAACTTAAAATGTTCAGTCATTTATTCGGAGACATATTTTCGAAATAGGTTGTTGTACGGTTTTTGATCTGAAAGTTGACAAAGTCAAAACTATGCTTGTGTACTGAGGGTTTTTTTGGTCGCAAATAGTTTCAAAATGAACTTTAAAGTGCTTAATAAGATACAGTATTTACTACACGTTTGTTCATACTCTTCTGTTACATTAGTTGACTGGAATCTGTTTTGTGGAGTGAGAGAGTAATCTTCCTTTAATCACCCTAACATGATGCACACTAGATATTACTGTTGTGATGGTGGTTGACGTTCTGATTTATGTTAGAGTCGATTCGTTCGCGTTAGGTTCGTATCGTTCGTAGTCTGCTAGGCTCGTATTGCCTGTAGACTGTTAGGTCATACTACCGGCCACAACAGGTATATAATTCTACTAAGTTAGAAATTTGACCGAATTCTGTAATGTATAAAATAATATGCTTGTCAGAAGCTTTATACGGAGAAATATCTGTTTGATAAAGTCTATTAACCCAAAAATGGTTTTTCTTTTCCACTATGGCGTCGCCCCCATTTTCTTTACTGAAGACTTGTAAAATGTACAGGCTACTCTAAATTCGCTTGTTTTCAACATCAGATGCTTTTGTTGAACTCTGTAGTAGCTAGCACTCAAAGTTTCTCATGAAAAGAAACTAATTCATGATATATTCTGTTTAGACAGTGTCGGTCTTATACTACGTGTGAAGTAATTTTCATGAAACTACTTGGGTCAAAATAATTTCTAGAGTGATGGGATTAATTCTTTATCTGCTTAGTGATTATGTTGTGAATTTTTAAATTCACATAGTTTTTTCAATGTGTTACAGCCTTGTTTTCTGGTTAATTTCAGATCGATTTGCCGGAAACGAACCGTTTGATATCTGCTTCATATTTATTCACAACTATCGTGTAAGTTGTTATTTACTCTTTTTTTTACCACAGTTTAAAAGTAGACATGTGATCTCTTTTCTAAGAAATTTACAAACTCGTTGAGCTGTGTAGATGGTAAGCTTTTACACTTTGCCAAACTTGTTTTTTTATGTTCAGAGAATTCTACAGTGTTGAATACGGTAAACTTATCCTACAATAGTAAAATGTAGCCCTATAGTCTTATTGAATGCAAAATTAAGTAGTATTGGCGTTAGTAGTATAAAAACAGATCTTCGGTTAGACGAAAACTGTTTTTATCTACGCTTCCTTTAACTTATTAAAGTATATTCCAAGTGTGTTGAAGCATTTTAAGTTGAGTGTCAAAATGGTTCATCTTATTTCACTGTGTATTAATTCTATTCTGAATCATTTCAACAGCCCTCACCCATCGATTCATTTTATATATGAAAATGAAATCAATGATTCAATACTTTTTCTTGACTTGCTAATGACAAGAAAAGATGGCTATATACTGAGAAGTATATATAGAAAACTGGTGTCTAAGGCACAATAGACGCACTTTCTCAGCTTTGTATGGATGAAGTGCAAACGTAATATAATCAGGTGCCTGGTTTTTAGATTAAGATCGATTTGTCCCAAGAAGTGTGGAAAAATAACTACCGTGTATCCGTGAAATTCTAAGTGAAAACATATCTGGATAAGTTCATCAAAGCTAACATCAACCACATTGGTCCTAAACGAGAATTGATGACAGGGGAGGAGAAGCCTTTATTTCTGCACTTATAAATCAAGGGAGATGCTGCAAGTGACATTCTATCATAACGCCAAGCTAGACTAGTCAATATGATCTTTAGTGCAGATCGACTTTGAATATCATTCAGTGGTCGCCCAATGCTCGATCCGAGATAAAAAGATAATCTCTTATATCGACTTAATTATTCCTGTGGAACCAGTTACATAGGGCGTACAATTAGGCAAGTGTGTCTCCGAATACGAGAACATTTCCCCACTTGGTTTGGAAACGGCGAAGTGAAAGTGGTGAAAAGTTCAGTCCTAAAGCATCTAGTCGACACAGAGCATCACACAGATGCTAATACAGCTTTTAATGTCATTCATCTTATTCAGAAAACGATACCACATGTAGCTCGTCAACGCCTGCTCAACATAGTGGAGGCTGTTGCGATAAGGTCGATCAAACCTGAACTATGCATTCAGAAAGAATATATCCGAGCGTTACTCCTTCCTTGGTCTTCAGTAAACTAAAGGCCACTCCTGTCTTTTTATTCGTTATCTTTTTGTTCACTATCATGTTAATGATCTGTATATGTATCATCCCAATAGAGGCAAATCTAAAAAGTAAAAAACGATTTTCTAACAATTCCTAAATTTCACTCCATTTTGAAAATGTATCGAACCCAAATACGAGTCGGTTTCACGCTGTACAGATGCGTTTTATAATTGTAGAACCTAAAGAGGATTTATTGAAAGGAGTATCTGTTCAGATTGTTGCTTTTTATAAATATTAAAAATATTTTGGGAGTCTTGTTTGAAATCTTAATAATTCTTCATTTGTAAACAATTGCGGAATTTTTTTAATATTTCAATTAAGAGATAACGAAGAGAAATCTAGACTTCTTTAAAGATGGATAATGTTTATAAATAAGTTTCCCTATTCTTTACTACCTTGAATAAAACCATATTTATGATACTTTTATTACAACTAAATGTTCTCATGGTATAAGGACATAAGATACGAGTGTATAACTTCACAGTATACACAAGTGACTTTGTTTAATGCATCTAAAGCAGTTTAAAGTTGGGGGTGCTGCTGGCTTAAAAGAAGCAAATGAAAGGAAAAAGAAAAATGTGATTGTACTGTTTTCGGAAGTGAAGTGTAACGTCTTATTAACCCCATGCAGGTTTTTGTATTAGCCAGTGAACTACACCCGTTGTGTGATGGTTAATTATTCTACCTTTCTACCCCTAATTCGATCGGTGGAGCAAAGTACAAAACCCCAAACTAATGGGTGAGTGTTAAGCACCTAGATTAGTGAGCTGTAAATGAAGTAGCCTTGAGTTTCCGGTGTACACTATTGTATTAGTTTTTCGTACTGAAAATGCGACAAGTTGGATTTCTTCAGAAAAATATATCCTACCACACATTATCACTTCCTTATTCTTCTTATGACTACCAAGAAATGAATACACAACAGGAAGGATCTTGTGAATGCTGTTAGTTTCTTGATTAATATCCACACTATGTTTCACAGAAGTATGAAAAAGGAATGGTGAGATAGTGTACTGGTGATGAAAAAAGTTGGAAACGGATGATGAGGCTAACCTTTTAACCTCTATATTTCGATCAAGTGGTTCAACACTTCTCAGCTACTCCTGCCATGTTGTAGCGAAAGATCAAACCATAAATTATAATTCTCTTACGACACTATACACAAATGTGTATGTATGCGTACGTTTTCCTGTCATTTACACTTGTCGTAACAACTAAATGGCATTATTTTCAGTTAAAAAGGTCTTGTAATCTGATCAGATGTCTGATAATCTTATGACTACTTTTAGAGTCATATCATTATTTTTCTTTCAAGACTATGTTATTGGTATCAATGTCCTCTTTAAAAGCATATTTTCATGTGCGTATTCATTTTGAAAGCTAGAGTGGAGATAACACCATTTTCTTCGGTGGTGTATATCTAGACTTTACCTACTAGTTCTTACTGCTGCAGAATTCTTACAGCTGTCCGTTTTGGTGGACAGCTTAGACGAAAATTGTTTCTTCTTCTTTCTTATACTAACTTGTACAATCCTTCAGTCTGAAACTGATAATAGAACTTGATCCAATGAATTGCACAAAACAAGGTCATTTAAAAACGATATGAATAGACTTTGGATTGTGCAGATAAACTAACCTTGAAGTAAAGTTTTCAATCATATTTCTACTGTCCACCTTTCTAAACGGCTAGGAACAGTGATTGGTTGAAAGGGAGTTTAACATCAGTGTCAGGACCACCATATTTGAAGTGTATCATCTTCATTTTGCAAAACCATCTTGAAACATGTGTTTAATATCTCAATTTCCTGTCAGTTAATTGCATGTTGGCTTTATACTTTGTCTGATAAGTATGGTTTTAGTTCAATATTCAATCAGTTAGTATCAAATCCTCCATCTGAACTGTATCCCATCATTCTATCATAATAAGTTCATCCTAGTACAAGCATTACTGCTGTCTGGACAAACCATTGTGTATGCATATACCGTGAGATTTTCAGAAGCTGCTTGGAAATAAAACAACCTGTTGTAGAATAATGTATGCCTACTCAGGGAACTGTATGTATCTTTGTTTAAACTTTATAATTTTGTTTTTAAGGGTAAATACACGTGACGTTTTACAGGCTGGCATCAGGAAGAACAAATCATGTGCGGATCAAATTGCAACACAACGTATCATCTCATCATACAAGAGAGCATAGAATGGCACTCAACTGGATTCTTACCTCAACTTCATCGATTTTGAAGAGGCCTTCAACAGCGTCCACCGGCAAGTAATTTGGCAGGAGGCTGCTTCAACACTGAGGTTTTAGTGCCACAAACCTTGATCAAACTCACTAAACAGCAGATACGTGCTATATGATGAGGCTACATACCAAATGATTCACAATGGAAAGCTCAGTGACCATACATTTGAAGTGAAGTAAAGACAGGAGTAAGACAAGATAAGATTGCCACCTACTGTCACCGATGATCTTCCTGATTGTGGTCAACTGGACTGGACTGAACTGGATCATGCAACAGACAACTGTGAGCAGCGAGGAGGTGGACATACGCTGGCTGGAGGGATGAAGAGACTGCAGAAGAAGATTTGGATTTCGCCACTGCCGATGTTGATTAATGTTTAATGACTTGTTGCACAAACTCGAGAACAACAAGTTGACAGAAGAGGTTAGGCAGGGCAGTGGAGACGAGACTTCCTTCAGGTGAACGTATGGAAAGAAGACAGAGGTGATGAAGATACCCAACCACCGCCACCACTACCACCACCACCACCAACAACAACAACAACAAGCAGAAGTCACCATGAACAGAAGAAATCTAAAGGAAGTAGCCTCCTTCACCTACCTACCTACCCACCTGCCTACCTACATACCTACCTACCTACCCACCTGCCTACCTACCTACCTACCTAGGCAGCATCGTTTCAACTACAGGGGGCATAGACACAGATGACGATGTCGAAGCAGCCAGGATCGCAAAGACAGCAAGACACGCCTTTCCTCACTAATCTGAAATCAGTGTGGAGATCTACTGCACTCAGCATAAAGAAAGAGATCCGGATTTTCAACACTAATTCAATCAAGCAAGTCAGTGCTTCTATGTGATGGTTGAGAGACTTGGTGCGTTACGAAAAGTATTTGCAACAAACTGGAGGCATACATCAACAGCTGACGCCCACACGCATTCGATACTGAAGATGATCAGATGGCCAGAATAATAAGGATAAATAACAAGGAAATCTGGCTGGCTGGCTGGTTGGTTAGTAGTTGTGGAGCCAGTTTGAAAATAGTGGAGAGAAGAGAGTGAAATGGTGACATGTTACTGAAGCCAGATGTCCCACTAGAAGCCCAGAGGACAAATAATAAATAATACACTTAAGACTGTGGTATTAACGTTCTCCAAACTTGAAAATAAATCTAATCTGGAGTGTGATAAATCTTTCGAGATACTTTATGCTGTAACAGTAACTTCAGGTGATGTAGATGCTTATAAGCGTGTATTCATTAAGAAGTTTCCAGAAAAGTATTCCCTTCAATGTCATAACTTTCTTACAGTACACATGAGGAGGAACTTCAAAACTTAAATCCGCATCCCTTTTTGTTGTATGGTATTATCGTGAAGCACTTGTAAAACACTTTCGTAATATAGTTGTGTTGGTAATTTCGAACTGGATAACTAACTAGTATCAAAACCATTGAATATCTGTTAGTATTATGCAATTTCGGAATGATAATGATTTCTTAGCAATTCGCATAACTAGATTTGGAATTAAGATTAATCCGCTTTTTATTCAATTTTTTTACTGGATACGTCCAATACACCAAATAAAGTGGAATTACATTGTACCACAACGCCGAAGCTTGATTACAATATAAATATAACCTGTGAAGAAAATGAGTCTGAGTATTGAAACACGTGAATTTCTTGAATAATACCCACTATTTCAAGCAGTATTACTGAATTATTCAAATTTTAGAATGCTATCTCCTAGATATGGTTAATGGCTATACCATTGTCTCCATAGATTGTTTAATTAATGTCTAACTTGGAGTGAAACATTCTTTAATTCAGTGAACTTCAACTCAATGGTTTGGAGGTAGTTGAAAGTCTGAAGTGGGAGAAGATCGAGTCAACCAATTTGGAATTGATGGGGGATGCCTATCACAAACACTATATAGAAGTTTCGTTATTTGACACAAGTTGAATATATACCAACTGATTTCAATGCATTCACTTAACGGGAAGGTAATCATCTTGAAATCTGATTGTCCTTGGCTCTATTTCATGTAAGGTGATGGATGAAACCAACTGAGAAGTTCCAAATTGCCCAATGCACTCTAATTTCTAGTGCTGCTTTAGTTGAAGTCTATCCGTGATGTAAACTACCTTAAAAGTAATTCGTGTCTTTTAGACCAACTTGAAATGGTTTTTGCTTTAAGTTTGTCTGTGTAAGATCTAAATATCTGGTTGAGTGGTTTCGAAATACTCCTTCTGTTCTGTAGTATATTCTACAACTGTATCAAATTGTTTCAATTATCACAACCTTTGATGTTAGTCGGGAAGTTTTCAACAGAAAGCCTGTTGACACTGTGTTGGAAATACACTTAACCACAGGAAATATGGGTTTGAGACGATTTGTTTGCAAATAGGTTTGTTAGTTATCTATGCAATATGTGGCTTACCTACCCTTCCAACTCAGCTGCTTTAAATTTTTCTTAAGAATTCAGACCTATGGAATTGAGTTTGTCAAGTTACACAATTGATAAGGATTTCTGAAGCCAAACAAAACGGTAGTTCATTGGTAAAGTTAATTTTATTTTTGTAGTGAAATCTATAGATCAATGTGTACTTTGTTACTACTCATGTCATTGAATAGTGTATTTCATACTTTTATCTATTTGTTTGTAAAAAAAGTTTCCGAAGTGTTACTCCACGGATAAAACCTTTGAAGCTACTTACGAAGATTTTCACTTTTAATCAGATGATTACAGAATCAGAAACAAATGTGAGTTTATCCTGATTATAGTGTGAGAAAACTTATTTTTAATTATGTAAAATTATTAATATAAGTGAAAAACTTGGGCACTGTGGTAGAATGTAGTTCCATATTAGATTTGTTTATTTGATATAAAGCGCACAGTGATAATAATAATAAATAATACTGTATCACTGTGCGCTTTATAATCAAGTAAATAATGTATAATTATTGTTTACACTTTGAAGTGTATACAAAATCATCAGTCAATTATTTTTGTCATCTTCAGTTTATGTTATTACTTTGCTTGACAATGTTATCTAATCTCATACATGCACTTTCTACGTTCATATTGCAGTTGTCTTTCATGCAGTCATCTCATAGTTAAGGCCTCGATGAAATGGACTTTCAAAAAAATGAAAAATGTATAAAATCTAAATCACCACCTTTAAGCATTAGATAAAGCAATTGCAATTTTTAGTTGGGATTTATTAAGGTATATTAATGGTGGTTCAGTGTTCTCTGAGGTTTAATATTTTCTATATTAGATTGTTTATTTGAAACAGCAAGCAGTGACATAGTATAATTTACTGGATTACATTCGGAGCAGAACTTATCACTCATATTCATATCAAAGTTATCACACCACTTTCTGGCCTCATTTATATAGTCCAACAGTTCATTCATTTATTTTAATAGTAGTAAAATCTCCCAGATATCTCCAATATGTGTGCAGTCATTCCTGTTACATGTGTTAGGTGTGGATTCAATGAACAAAGATTAAGTAATCAATCTCCCCCTCCACCTAACTATACTAGATTTTAGAATTGTCACCCTATCCTGCCCCATAGTGGGATTATGGGTCAAGGCATATCCGGCGACAGCTGAGTTTTTCTCTAAATTACTTATCTGAGTAGGTTCTACCATCGTATGTTTCACTAAATTTTTGTGTTCCGCTATTCTGACTGACATCGCTCGACTACTTTGACGTGTATACTTGGCCTCGCACATTCATAACATGCTATTTGATAGTTTAGGTTATTTTTCCTAATCGGCTCTATTAGATCCTTCAGCCTGCAAAGTTTCTCTCTGAGCAAGCTTGTGGCTATAAATACCACCCTAACCCCAGCATTGTTAAGAATTGTACGCAAAATTTTCTATGTGTCATCTCTATATGGCGAAACTACAGAGGATTTGAATTCCCTCTTAGGCATGCAACAATCACCACTGACATTATCACTCCTCTTATCAATCCTCATAAATCTTTTAACAAATTGTGGAAGACAGTTATTAAGAATTAGTGTCTCTGTGATATATTTCATTTCCGTATTTAGGCTTTCCAACTTACTAGTCAAACTCCTAGCCCGATTACTTAAACATTTTATCAAGCCTACTTTGATAAATATAGGGTGAGATGATGTGAAATCCAGGTGTCTATTCGAATGAGCTGGTTTCTTATAAACACTGGTAACTAGGCTACTATTTTCTCTCCTCTTAATTTTGCTATCCAACACAGGTAATTCTCCTTCTTCATTTTCTAATTCATAAGTGAATTGGATTGCATCTACTATCGGGTTAATGTGTGCGAAAAAACTCTGGATGTATTCTGATTTCAGCACAGTAAATGTGTCATCTACACATCACAACCATACCTTTGGGATGGATTAAAATTTTCCTAATGCTAGTTGTCTCCAACTATCCATAAATATATCTGCTACGATCCGGGATCTTGGAGATCCTATCGCCACTTTTTCTGTTTGTTTATATATTTTGTCTTGAAATTTTAAAATTAGTGAAGTTAAATATAATCTTATCCCTAGTATAACTTGTTCAATAGAAACTTCAGTTCGATTACTGAGTTCATGGTTAGTTGTGAGTTCATTTCTGACTGCCTCAAGTGCCATATTAATTAGTACATTTGTATAGAGGATCGTTATATCAAAACTGACCATCTTTTCTCCCTCGTCTAATTATATATTATTTAGTCTGTATTTCAGTTCAATTGAATTAATTGGTGAGCCTAGATTTTGAGCGATTTCCGATAGGACATAGTATTGTATCTAAATATATTTTGATAACTCATATGTTGATATTTTTCGTAGATGTTTCATCGTTAGGCTTGGTGGCATCCTCACTGCTAACTTTATCAAGAAGTGAAGCATATTCAAATACAACAGGAATGTTCAATTAGTATTTTTTTCGGACTACCTATCTAGCCAATCAATGCTCAGAGAACACCGAACAATCACCATCAAATTCATGCTTCATGCTTCTAGAGCTATTTCGGTCTCCTCTCTGAATTCATCTAAACCCATAACATCTATTAGCACATATATAACAACTCTAGCATTGTTTCCCGGACTTATACAAGGAAATCATTTTACAGCCTGTTACACCATCTACAGAGAATAATTTTTTAACGTATAATGCAGTCACTGCTTGACATCTTAGTGCATATTTTTATTTTAAAATGTGGAGTTTTTTCAAACAATTTATTTAGTATTAAAATTCCACTTACTGTGAACCAGTATAATATCTCAATAAATCTCTTTTAGTTAAAACTTCTAGAAAATAATCAAGAGACCATTTACATTAGTCAACGAAAATTGGAACCTTATTTAACGGAATTACTGATCAATCTTTCAAAATTGGATTCAGAGGAGCTTATAAATTTAGCCTTGGAAAGCACATACATATTACAGGTAACTTAAAAAAAATAAATATTCTTGCAATGAGTCAATAAGTCACTAGTTTTTTTCAATAGAAATTTGAATGTTTAGTGGACAAACAATATTCTTCTCAAGAACTTCTTCCTCAGGTTCTAAAGTTATATATACCCATATTATGTAATCAAAAAGTAAGGTTGTGTAAACCATATTCAGATTTTATATGTTAAATTTTATATGTTAAATATTCCGGGAGTTCTCTTCAGAAGGGGCTTATATGAAAGTCATTGTCAAAACCAAATATTACTGGAATTCAAACCAAAATAATTAATTGTGTAAATGGTAATATGTCTCATGAAATACTGGATGACCAGAGGGCTGTTATTTTCAGTTAACGAATATGAATGGCAGTGATTATTTTAGTAATTCTAACCGGCTAATATTGTCGTTACACGAATGATACCTTTATAATTCTTAAAAGTAAGACTAGTAAGACTACCTTTTAGTAATGATTGCTTGTGATTAAGCGTTAAACTGACTTCTACTAGCTTCAAATATGAAATTCGTAGTAATAAACTTCATCATAAGTCGAGGGGAAATGATACATAGAACAGTGTTTGTGTGTGAATGTTCAAGGGGACTAACCAGGATAGTCTAGTGAAAACAGTAGGTCATCTTACAAATGTATGGGGAGCAAAACTAAGGAATTTGACAAACTTAAGATTACAAGGTAGAGGTGAAGGAAGTTTATAGTTCAAATACCTAGTCCAAGAAGTTGTTACCTAATTAAATATCTTGAACCAAAATTCCAGTAACCTTCATTTTGACATTACCTCTTACGGAACCCTTTCGTGAAGAGAATTCCTAGGTTATTTCAATATTAACTATTGACTGTGATATAGAATCATACTGTGGTTAAAACAAATTTACTCTTTGACTAAACAATATAGAAACATAGCTATAGAAACTGAGGAGGAAGTTATTGAAAAGAATATTCTTTGTTCACGAAATTGTCTTTTGAATAAAAATGGAAATTTTCAAGGTTAAATTTAAATATACTGCAATTTAAAATGATGACAAGTTTTCTATCGTTATAATCGAAATATTAAATTACTTTAAATAGTGATTTAGTTAACAACCATCCACTTATGTAGGGTTTGACTTGTTAAAATAAACTGGTACATGTAAACATCATAAGACGATTATTGGGACTACAACCTACTGAATACTTTGTAGTTCTTCTTTTCATCGAAAACTATCCTTGAAATGATTCTTTCTTATCAACATCTACGTCTTATGAATTGTGACGGTCCCTAGAATGTCTTTTAAGAAGAAAACTGAATGCGTATTAGTGTGGACGCGAAGTTTGTGCCATTTACAAATACTAAGTAAACAATCATATCTTTGACGCTGACAAAATATTCTGCGAAAAATGACCAAGAAATATACAAGACAGATAAGATTACATTTGATGCCTTTCTCTCTTTAAACAAATACGTCGAATTCAGTGTTAACTTATGCATACTTTTGTGGTTCAACACTTATATGCTTCAATAGCCTTTCCAAGCAATCAAATGTGTTCTTTCTCATTTGTATACTTTGCACCTTTCTAACATATTGAAAGGTGTTGCTAATTCACCTTCGATACATCATGATTGAATTTTGGAAAAGTTCAGTAGTGTATTATTGGAATTCTGAGGATCATATGGCCAGAAAGAATAAAGAACAAGGAACTCCAGCTGCCAACGAACCAACCAACCAACAACCTATCACCCAACAAATATGCAGTAGAAGTGAGTGGAGGTGGAGTGGATTGGATTGGACATACACTGAGAAGGCGGTTTGGGGACATCACGCACCAGGTCAGGTCCTCTAGTGGAACCGAAATGGGAAACGACGAGTTGGGTGTCCGATGTGAGGGTGACATAGAGGAGAACGTGTGAGGAAGAAATGAGAGTTTGTTGGTAGTTGTGGAGCCAGTTTGAGAATAGTGGAGAGAAGAGAGTGAAATGGTGACATGTTACTGAAGCCCGATGTTCCACTAAAAACTCAAATTAATCTCTGTTTTTAAAGTGAAGAGTAAAGATCATCTGTGAGTGCCTATAAGGACTTAGAGATGACCAGACGTCAAACGTTTTCGCCACTGAAGCTTCTGTTTATCAAACATTCTGAATATTAAGGTTCACTTATTTCGTAAATAATAGTTTTTTGAATATAGTCGAGTTAAGCTGACTACTTTCACTTTGAACCACTGATGCTTTTTTTAACGTTAGTAACAACCACTCTTTTTCAGATAATATTTTTGATACTGTTTGGAATTCTCAGCTTATAAATATTTGAACAAAATTAACTTCACGACATTTTGAGTAGTAGTAATTAAAGCATTTAAATTATACAATAATCAAAATGATAATAATAGTCGTGAAGACAATAGTATATGAATAATTATAAGAAAAAATAGCTATTAGTTTACTTTTATAAAGCTAATAAGAAAGTTCTGTAACAATTCCTTCATACAAAATGCGTTCTAAATAAGATGTATTTAGCTAACCTAGCCTAAAGTTCCATAAAATTGCTTCTTTTTCCCTTTGAGGTGATATAAGAAAATTGTGAGTAAAACGGATGCTAAGTATCCGGTAAAATTATTGTTGTTGCTTACCTACACGAGTTTGAATGTCTGTCTACTACAGTGACAATCAATTGGGTTAAAGACGCACTACTAACAATATTCACAGCTTTCAAAGCCTTCTACATTGTCTTTTTTTCAGAAGCCATGGAAATAATCTGAGAATAATTTTTAAAAACTAGGTAAAATACAGGAATTAATAAATTGCGAAAGAGGCTGAGAACTTATGTCAGAAAATAAAAGCTTTCTTATGTAGTATTTTAAATGAAATTTTTTTTGAAGTCATCAAGATATACAAAGCGACCAACAAATAGAAGAAGGGAAATAACTTCAAAATAGGCAGGATCCGATTCATTTCATACAATAGTGTCATCAATATTACATAATCCATGGACTTAAGCAGCAAATGCAAGTCTTATTCACACCTGGGACTAAAATTAACCGTTTGGCATTTAGAAGGGTTTGACTTAAGATCGTAGAAGGAAATCCACTTGCCAATCACAGATAAGGAACAACTGATTTGGGAACGTGTACTTCACCGTAGTCTGTTGTATTGTACTGTATGGCTGTGAAACAAGGCCACTCAAGGTGGAGGACATGAGAAGGCTTCAAGTGTCTGACCACCGTTGCCTTCGTAGTATACGCTGAAATAACTGAAATTTGGAATTTTGCGAAACCTTGATGGTACCTATGGGGGAAAAATGACTGAAAACAATCTAAACTTTAACACTGTGTATATGCAGAAAAGTGATATTTTCTTGTTTGTTTCATAACTATCAGAATCTTTTGATGTTTTTAACAGAATTCAATGACTTCTCTTTTGTACCATTCAGGACCCCTGAAGTCTTGTAGATTTTTCAACATATATCATTATGATGATGCCTGTAAGCTTGCTTCTGTTATGTTAAATTCATAATGTGAGACTACAATATTTATTTAGTGGATTACTAGGTCGGTTGGTTAAAAAACCTGAGAGTAATTAGAACTGAAAAGTTCAGCAACTTTTCTGAATTTTCATTGGTTATGAACAAAACTTAGTCTATACACTTTTCGTTCAAGTGAGTAAGTCGTCTGCATGCAACAATAAGTCCACTCTTTATGAATTGGTTGTTTCTTTATGCATATTAACTTTTTCCCCTTATCTATTTTAGTTTTTGTGACTTTCTTTTAGCTTGTCTGTGACAGTGAGACAAGTGTCCCAATGATTGGATTCGCTATATTGTTGAATGTGTCTAGAGTTAGTCATTCAAAACCACATGAAATACTCTGTTATTCGTGATCAATACCCGTTTTCTGACAAGTGTTTGACGATCCCAATGTTTGCTACTTGTTTTAGATCTAATTTGATGTGTTGTTTCCATTTTGAAATAGAATCTTACAGCATGAGTCCGAAACTTCAACACCAGTACTTTTTTCATATTTATCTTTTGTCTTCTTTCAGATTGTTAATAATATATACCTAAGCATCGTGATGTTTAAGACAAAATACTTTACTATGTTTTCCAATTTGATGGTACATTTAAACATCAGAAGAATGAGAAATTAGTTTCCTCTTTTACTTCCGTCTGCTGTTTGATAGGCATATTTCAGTGTATCAGTACTATAAATTGTATTTGAATAGCTCAGTAAGAATATAATTGTCAGAATAAGATGACGTTAATTCAAAAGATTTTAATCAGCTTGCATACAACCTGAATAAATTAATAAATAATAACTTAACCATAAAAGCTGCAGACATACCTAATAAGAAAGTTTTTGAGGAGTCAGTTCTTGTTTTAGAGATCAGAAAAAAGGCGTTGGAATTTCACAGCACGATGAAAGTCGAAATAATAAAATTCGAACAAACCAAATACATGATTATGAGAGATAGGAGTGTGGTCTCAGATGAGACTGAGATTCGATATAAATAGACCTAGTTACTTAAAGTTGTGATAAAAATTATCCATACAAATGATAAGTGAATGAAATAAATTATTATTAACATTGTTACAGTGATAGATACAATGACAAAGAGTGGGTATGAATAAGTACAAGACCGGAATGAAAATGTTATTTGATACTTGTAATTTCCTGTCACTATACAGGGTCGAATTGCTCGACCTCTGTTGACATATGGGCTGCTCTGCGGATGCCTCGATACTGCGGATACTCAGGATGCTGTGATCATAACAACTGATGATGGTTACACAAGAGGTGGCTATCGTACCCTAGTGGATAACGCTTCGGGGTTTGAAGCGATGGGCACTGGGTTAGAGTCTCGGTGGGAAGAATATCACAAACTGAGGTGCAAGTACATCCAATTGATGTATCCCAATAGGACGAGGCATGTGTTTTGGGTTTCATTACTGATCATCAACATGAATACAACGAAATGGAAACACTTTTAAAATGGAAGGCAAGTCAGGTGAAAATAGCATTCATTACCAGAGAAGTAATGGGCTGGAAACTATCCGATACACTGATCGAATTCATTATAACATCATTTCGACGAAGTAACATCATTTGCAATAGTCAGCAGAAGAATGAATTCATGCTTGCTGCGAATTACTAAAGCTGTCTCTGTCCAAAGAATTCAATGAGGATTGTGTGAAAAGAAATACCAATCTTTCGAATAATGTTTGATTCCTACACGATAAGTACTGATTAAAACATCAGCTTGCACGTATCAATAAGCTCATGAATCTCACAAATTCTCTACTCCCAAGTAAAACGTTGGACGAGACAATACGTTGTTGTAACAAGGACTTCGGTTATTGAGATTTATAGCATCAACTTACTATTCATTAACCCACTATCACTTACAAATTAATATTTGTTTAGACTAGCACGTAATCTAAATTTTTACTGAGAAGAAAATGGTGTTCTCTTATCATGAATTTGGTTTTGTATTTGTTAAAAGCTGCTGTATTGTTGACTGAGGTTACTGGAGAAGTGAATCTTCAACAAAAGGTATATAAATTCCTTGCATAACATTTTCAACGGTTTTGTTTCACAGTCGTTGTCGGTAGCAATTTCGAACATTTATCTACGAAACTTATATGGTGCATAAATAAACCTAAAAGTCATGCAATTTCATTGTATGCACTGTGCACAATATACTATCTCCAACCCGCTGACGACAGAACCGAAAATTTCTAATTCCTTTCGCAGAAAAATTTATTACTCTCGAAAATCCTCTTTTAGGGTATAGTAGAAATGCTTCGTTGTACTTCACACTCTGATGAGTTGTAGTTGCCAAAAGAAGCATTCCTTTCGTTCTTCACGTATATCGAAGCCATTCATGGCAATTGATGAAAACATTATACTCATCTAAAACGTCTTACACTTTAACGAGTGTAGATAGCTGTTGTTGAATGTCTGCAGTTTGTTGGGAATGCTTTTCGTAACAACTTCCTTTAGATTTCTTCTGTTCATGGTGACTTCCACGTGTTGTTGTTGGTGGTGGTGGTTGGGTATCTTCATCACCTCTGTCTTCTTTCCATACATTCACCTGAAGGAAGTCACGCCTCCACTGCCCTGCCTCACCTCTTCTGTCAACTTGTTGGTTTTCACCTGTAGATTTTCGAGTATGTGTGACAAGACATTAGACATAAATCACCATTGGCGGTGGCGAAATCCAAATCTTCTTCTGGAGTCTTTTCATCCGTCCAGCCAGTGTATGACCATCTTCTCGCTGCTCACAGTTGTCTGTTGCATGATCCAGTCGAGTCGACCACAAGCAGGAAGATCATCGGTGATAGTAAGCGGCAATCTTGCCTTTTCTTACTCCTGTCTTCACTTCACTTCAAAATCATCATCACTCAGCTTTCCATTGTGAATCGGTTGGCATGCAGCATCATCATATAGGATATAGCAGTTGAATGAGGTTGATAAAGGTTTGTGGCACTAAAACCGAAGTGTTGAAGCACCTTCCTGCCAAATTGCCTGCCGGTTGACGCTGTCGAAGGCCTTTTCAAAGTCGATGAAGTTGAGGTAAATATCTAGTTGACTGCCATTCTATGCTCTGTTCAATGGCAGGATGATGCGTAGCATTGCAATTTGGTCCGCACGTGATTTTTCTTCCTGAATCCAGCCAACCAGCCTGTTCCGGTCATAATTTTGAATCCAGCGCATCTTTTAGTCTCTCCAGGATGATGTGGCGTATTATTTTGCTTTGTGTGAACAGCAGCATGATTCCGCACCAGTTCTTGCAAAGACTTAGGTCTTCCTTCTTTAGAAGTTTGACAAGGTAGTCCTTCTTCCAATCAACTGGCAGGTACCTTTCCTGCCTTCCTCCCGAACCTTCTGCAATAGTGGTGTGAGCATATCCACCGATGTGTCTGCGTCTGTTTTCAGTGCTTCTAGAGAAATCTCATCCAGTCTTTCCCCGGAATTCAGCAGTTGCATGGCGTTCAGGATTTCTGCCCTGTCGGAGGGCTTGCGTTCACTGGTAATTCTGCTGCTGGGTCGCTGTTGGTATTTCTAGACGAAGTGCAGGTGGTGATCGACTCAAGGGTGTATGGAAGTGGTCAGTCCATCGTTTCTTTTGTTTCTCCTCTTTGGTGGTAGCTAAGTTTCCTTCACTATCTTTTATTGGTCTCAACTGTGCTGATTTCCTCCCAGATAGTAACCTGGTTATTTGGTGTAGTGTCGTCAAGTCTTTGTCTCTCTTACCTGCAGCCTGTTCTGCCTCACTTGCAAATGTGTCACAAAAGTGCTCTTTGTCCTTCCCCGCACTCTTCTTCACTTTTCTGTCCAGTGTGCTGAGTGTTTTACAGGTTGTGTTCAGTTCCTCTTTCCGTTGCGCGTCCCTGAACTGCACTGGTTCATCTTATGTTTCACCATCTTCTCCTCACTCCTCTAATAGCTTCCATGTGTCCGTTGAGATCCACTCTTTATCTTCTTTATTCTTCCCCCTAATACGTTTACGCTGGTTTTTTTGCATATAGCTTTCAAAGAGTTCCAGTGTCCTTCCATTCAGGCTTCCTCGGGGATGTTGCCTAATGTCCTGATGACTGACGTGAAGATGTCGTTTATAGTTTCGTCCTTCAGTTCAGTTTCTATTCTGGGTATTGATCTTGAACAGTGGTCTATCAATAGCTCCTTTGAAAGCTTTCAATTTGATTTTGAAGGTAGATTCCTTACACTAGATGGTGAGTAATGTGAAACTGCATCTGCTCCCCTTCTTGATCTGTTCTAGTGTCCAGTCGTCTGCGTCTCCACTTTCTTCACATTGCAATGAAGTCTATTTGACTTTTAGTCTCCCCCGGTGTCTGGTAAAATCCATGTGGCTGGCTTTGTTAATTTCTTTGTGTTTGTACACACTGCCTTCAATCACTTAAACGTTGAATACGCAGAAGTCTGCAAACAGTTCCCCATTCTCATTTATCATTTCACTGAGTGCCTCTCGACACATGGTTAGTTCTCTTCCTGTGTTGTCCGCTCCCAGTTTGGCATTGATGTCACCCATTAGAACTTTGATGTCGACAACTGAGGTGGGGCCTTGTCTAGTACTCGTTGGAGTTGTCCGTAGAATTCCTCCTTCCTCTGTATCTGCACTATTTGTAGGCGTATAACAAAGCATTGTATAAGTGTGACTTTCTTTCCTTTGAATCTTGCTGTCGTAATCCTGATTGTGGAGGAGACTGGCTCCCAATGCATGAGACAGAGCCTTGTATGCTGTCAAGGAGATTGTAGTGTCACACACTTCCCCAAAATCAATAGCCTAGGGTTTCACGACTTTCGACATTGGTGCTGACCTTGATAGTTTAACTGGACTCGCTAAGCCGAAGGCACCCGGTCAAGCATCCTCGCCATTTGGCACGCTGTCGTGTTACGTTGCATTGCTCGTATTCGACTCTCTAGCCAGTTAGTTAGAACACATCGGTATCTTGGCACAACCATCCAAATATACTATTCCATCCGACTACGCTATCGTGTTCTTCCTTGGTCTCATATTCGTGGGTATATAACAAGTCCGAATAATTAGTGATTGGTCTTTGCGTCTATCGAGTTCGCACCAGAACAATTCCCAAATTGGTGAGCCCGATGTGATCAAATATCCCGACCAATAACAAATATTGATTTGGTGAACCTGTTCCATTTTATATTTGTTTATTGTTTTCATTTCGATAACATTTATATATCCATTTACTGCATTTTCTCATGTCCGACCACACTCCCAAGCTTATTCGTGTTAAGCCAACTACGAACACGATCCAACTCGTGCCATATTGGCCAGACAATGCAGAAACATGGTTTCTGCATGCCGAGGCAGATTTTCGAGAACAGGGTGTCTCAGATCCTCATTCTCGATTTCTTGCTGTCATACGGTCACTACTGCGGGAATTAAACAGGTATGTTACAGCACACATGTTTAATCTCACAGATCGTCAGCGCCTAGACGAATTACTTCGTAACATCGAGCTAGGCAGCAACTCAGCTACTGAAGTCCTCGCATGCATGCGAGAAGTAATCGGTGCACGAACATTCGACGATGGCTTCTTCCGAGAACTATTTCTCTCGAAACTACCACAACCGGTGCAAACCGTGTTGGTGACACTGCAGTCAGTCCCACTCGATGACCTGGCAGACTCGGCAGATAAAATACTGGAGATTTCTAGCAGACCCGTCTTCAACGTATATTCTGTCTGCAACAAACCAGAGGGCCAGGATACAGAGGTGACAAAGCTGTGCGACTCTGTCAAACAGTTGCTACGATCTCGAAGTC